ATTTCGCAATCGATTTAAATGACGCAAGGTGTTAGTAACACGTTGGCAAACGCTGGAGACCTGTGACTGCCAGCCTAGCGTAGCATCAAGGTGCAGACCAAGGTTCTTGATACTGGGACTGATGGTAATAACAGTGCCGTCCATTATTATTGGGGGAAGATGTGCGACCACCACCCTACTCATCATACGTGGACCACCAACAACAATGGCCTGGCATTTTGTGGGATTTACTGCCACACCAAACTGGTTAGACCAACGGCTTACAGCTTCCAGATCTTTATTAAGTTTTTCGATTGCCGAGGACAAGTCCTCGGGTCGAGCTTGAGTGTAAATCTGAAGGTCATCAGCATAAAGATGATACGTACACTGAAGATTGTGAGTAATAAGGTTAATAAAGATAGAAAATAGTAGGGGAGAGAGAATACCGCCTTGAGGTACACCAGCTGCAAGCTCACGCCAATTCGACAGAGTCTCATCATTGCGAACAGCCTGCTGGCGCCCACGAAGATAAGACTGGAACCATTCCAGTGTCCCAGGCGAAATCATAAGATGGGAAAGGATGGATTCAAGGATGTCATGACTGACGGCATTGAAAGCATTGGAGAAGTCTATAAGGACCATGGCAGTAACTTTGGTATCCCGAATTCCCTCTCTAATGTCGCCAGTCACTTTTAAAAGTGCTGTAGCAGTGCTGTGCCCAGGCCTAAACCCAGATTGCAGGGGACTTATGAGGTTATAGCGGTGAATGAAACCAGATAGTTGCTTATGGGCACAAGCTTCCAGCACTTTGGAGAGGAAAGGAAGAATTGAGATTGGTCGAAAGTGTGAAGGGAGGGAAGGATTAGTAATCTTAGGAAGGGGGCGGACGTAAGCGTAACGCCATAAGGAAGGGAACTGTCCTGAGTATAACGAAAAGTTTATGATGTGGGTAATCGATGGTAGGATATACTCAAGGATCGGGATGACCATACTTCGACTAATATCGTCGTAGCCAACAGCCTTGGATTTTATTGATAGGATAATCTTTTTGACATCGCCCGGGGAGACTGGAGAAAACTTAAAGGAGCCAGTATTGCCACGCGGAAGACCAGCGATGAAGTCTACCGTCTGACGAATGGTTTGACAATCCAAACTGGCAATAGTGGTGAAATGGGTATTGATATCATCCAAACCAATCGTGTTAGGCAGCTCCACATAATCTTGTTTACCGATACCCAGCGTTCCGAGGAACTTCCAGATATCGGCCGCAGAGCAAGCTGTAATATTTTCAAGAATGTGCCGGCGTTTAGCGTTCCGTATCATCTGGTTACACCGATTTCGGGCCGATTTGTAAAGCATCCAATTCTCCTCAGACCGATCACGCTTATATTTTCTAAAAGCCCGGTTTCTTCGTCTCATGGCCATACGCACAATTCTCGACATCCATGGAGCTGGTGGACGCTTGACTTTTATAGACTTGATTGGCGCGTGTATGTCATAAAGGTCTTTTAGCATTCGGTTAAAAATTGTTACTTTGTCATCGATAGAGGAGGCATTAGAAATCTGAGACTCCCACTCAAGCCCGGCAGCATCACCTCGCAATCCTTCGTCATCCATTTTAGCAAAACAACGCATGCGCAGAACCCTTGGAGTAGGCTTTGGAGGTTTAAGACGATAGGACAAATAAATTAAGTCGTGGTGAGAAAAACAAGGAGCAGGATATTGGCCATGAGAGGCGGTGTGAGATGGACTAGAGGTAAGGATCAAGTCAAGCCAAGTATCTTCACCTGAAGAGTTGCAGTGAGTTGCCTGGAGTGGTAGGATATGAAGACTGACAGACTCGAGGATGCTACGAAGTTGACGGGAACGATGGGTACAATTCAAAAGGTTTGTGTTGAAATCGCCCATGATGACGTGATGCTCATACTCAGATCCAATAGATTCCAAAACCGACTCAAGATCGGAGAAGTAATCCACTGCAGGTGGACAGTAGACTACACCAATAAGCGTTCTGACTCCAGTTATACATACCTCGAGAAAAAGATATTCGGCAGATGCACAGTACTCAGAAGGTGATGTAGCTAGAATTTTATAGGGAAAATTACTGCGCAAATAAATAGCAACACCGCCACCACCCTTTCCGAGCCTATCGTTTCTAATTAGTACGAACCCTGGGAGAGAGTAACTTGTGGAAGGAAGATGAGGTTTCAACCAACTCTCGGAAACCAGGACCGCATGAACATTGCCGTCAGAGAAAGCTTCATATAGGTCATTATAGTGGCTGGGCACACTCTGGGCATTAATATGGCAAATATTTATCAAGTGTCGATTTGAGTTACCGAACGTACGACGCAAGCAATCACCGAGTGTCTCAGTGCAAGAGGAGAAGCTTGCGTTCGATAAGTCAGTGGAATTGTTAGCAGAAAGAAATGATTCTTCATCTGAATGCATTAAAACATATGAATATATAGATAAACAAAATAAATATATATTTATAGATATAATAAAAAAATAGATATATTATAATATTTATGAATATAGTTATTAAGTGGTGCAGTACTTACTCAACTATTAGTACCTCACTGCACCACCCGCCAGCAGCACCAGTTCACAATTAAATTAAAAATGAAGAAAAAAAAAATAAAAAAAACATAAACAATCTTAAACAACACAAAATGGTAAATAATATGAAAATTACAAAAAAAAAATTACGTGCAACGGAACGACAAAAAAAAAAAAACGCGCAACAATCAAGAATTGAAAATGTCACATATTATCACGATATGCAAATTGCTGTCACTGTCACGCATGATTAATAAACAGTGTGACATGACAGCAAAAACAAACGAGTTATAACACTTGAATACCGCACATTCCATTCAGATTTCTATTAAATTAATTAATATTACCCACATAAGTTTAATTTTGACGTAAGGAATTGTGGGTGATTAAATAAACAATATGAAAGACTTAAGTACTACCTATAAAATGTAAAGTGGGTCAACGTGAATAAAATTGAAAGAAAAATAAGAAATAGGATTAACAAAGTAAAAGATGTGAAAAATTATAGCAAGTACCTACATACCATTTATCAATGGTTGTGTGGGTGGTGATCCATAAAAATCTGCTTATGTAAAGTAAAGTAAGTATTTACTACCACAAATCCGTGCATTAATTGTGAGTTTAATGGCGATGGACACAACAATAAATGTTCATTATTTGTGGGCTTTCCCCCTAGCTGCAACTGTTGATTCTCTGGCCACCTTAGGGTACCTTACTAGAAGTGGGTCAAGCTCGTCACTAGAAGAAATTCTATGCCGGCTGCCATCCGAGGTCCTTATCACTATGACCCCATCCTGTGTCCAGCATGCCCGCATTCCGAAATGCAGCCGTGCTTTGCTGAACACTGACTGCCTGGTTCTAGTCAGGAACTCTTTAATGGCTATTGAAGAGCCCTTAAGTCCTTGCTTAGCCCTCCATACGGCAGATTTTTGATCCACTTTCATAAATCTCACCAAAATAGGCCGTGCTCGGTCCTTGCTGGGTGCACCAAGTCGATGGCACTGAGTAATGTGGTCCATTGTGATGTCTTTCAAGGCTAATTTGGAATGAAGTTTCTCCACAATAAATGCTTTACAGTCTACTTCATTTTCAGAAATGCCAGTAAAGATTAATGCCTTACGACGACTTCTCATGTCGAGGCTATCCACTATTTTGGAGAAATCCTGGATTTGGCTCCGCAGAAGACTCAGCATACCAAACACCAGCTCTCGGAAGCAGCGAAATTCCTCTGCGAGCTTGGCAATAGTGTTTGCCTTAGGAAGACTTGCTGTCTGGAGCTGGGACTCCATCTCACCCATCTTGTTCAAGATTAGCTCCTCCAAGTTCTTCTGGCTGGCTTGTACATCAGCAAGTTGCGAAAGTGACATTATTGCAGTGTTTTTTTAAAAAAAATACAGTAGTGTTTCTAGTGCAAGTGGCTGGCAGGTGGTGATGTAAAAGTGCTAGTGCTACATAAACACTTACACGATCAACAAATAATAATCTTATAAATTACTGCACTTTTTAAATTCCTAATTTGTTAATTATTAATAATAATTATTAATAAATACTTTTTAATATTTTGGAGCTACGTAAAACGCGTCGTAACTGTTTCGCACCTACCGCCGAAAAAAAAAAAGCTTTGTGTTTTGCTTCTGACAGATAAGAAAACAGCTACAGCTGCGTCATCTCATGTTTGTTTTTATGATCACTATTTGTCACTTGGGGAGGTTACGTACGAAGGAACCTTCATGCCTTGTTATGATATTATGGCAGAGACGAAGATTCATAGCTGAGCTTTGAAGAAAGTAATATTTTTATCGTAAGTACGGGTAAACCAAGCTTCGGCACGAATGTGTCGGCTCGACCGGAGTAATACCACGGCCTCACAGAAAACCGGCTTAAATCAGCGTTGTGTTTCGCCGTGAGAGTGAGTTTACCGGAGGCCCAATCTCTCTCGTCCCTTAAATATCTGAAACCTTTATCCCTATAAGACACCGCACTCGTCACTCCTTAGGGAGTTACGGATGTGTGTGTGCGCTCAGTTAATCCATCGGCTCGTTTGTCAACCTATACCATAAAATTTTATTTTCCTCTTTTGTTTCAAGCGATTTCATCTATCTTTGCATTTAGTGCCATTAGAATTTGATTTTTATCCCCATTTCGTAGACTTAATATCAGCACATGGCACTATTCTCAGTTTACACTCTCGCGGGAAAAGCTTGTAGCACAAAACTTGACCTAAAGATCGTCACATCATGGCTGGATACATTAAAATGCTCACTAAGGAGAGCAGAACCATTACTTCGAGTATCGCAAGCTGTGACAATAGGCCGGGGAACACATTACGATGCAGAAGTGGGTATTAAGTGCCGAGGAGTATTCTCCACGCCCATATTATTTCAAACGTGCATTTTTACTGATTTTAATGGAAGTTGCTTTGGTTTTCAATGGTACCTTAAGGTTATTTGCTTGTTTTGTCAGATTATCTGATCGTCTACCTGCTTAGAGTTGTTCCTTAGGATCGCGAAGAAGCACACGCATGTGATATTCCATAGTCTTAATAAACCGACTAATTTATTTATCCCTAAATCAACTGTAACTTTTTTTTCTAAAAAAATTAGAAAAAAATCAAGAGCTCTGAATCATATACTAATTTGTTTAAAACTGCATAGAACAAATTTACTTACCTTTTGAAAACAATGCATATCTCGAACTGTAAACTCTTTGTAACCGCCACCGAATTCTGGCTTCAACTGCTTGGGGAGATGCATTTCTTCGGCAGTTTGGAGGAGGCTAAAGAAAACATTAAAATTAGAAGTTGTACTTGGGATACACTTACTAAAATAAAGTAGTTTAATTTAAATTAAATACTGTAGGTATCGAAACTTAAAAGGGTACGGGGGTTTGGCTATACAGGGACATAAAACACGTTCTAAATAAATAGATAAAAAAATTTATATTTTTTATCTATTTATTTAGAACGGGAAACTTAAGGACTATTGCTAAAGTCACATCCACAATAACTTAAAACAAAACATGTATATCACCATCATTTGGATTGGTTCATCTACACCTTGTCAGTTCATACAGCGCCAAGTACCTAAAAACTTTTTGGTGCAAAAAACGTGATTTCCTATCAAGCCGAACTAAAAATAAAGGCCAAAAAGTTTAAGTACTCGATTCCTAATAAAAAAAAACAAAGGCGGCAGGAATGTAACGGGCTACATAATCGTGACACAATTCAAACTAACTCAAAACAGGTGAATCATGCTATGATTTCATTATATGAACAGTATTGTTGGTCTGGTACATGATTTGACAGTGTTAGTTACGTAAAATGATCAATGTTAAAATCAATTTAATCTCCTGTCAAGTCATCTGATTGGTTGGCTGAATTATCAACAACCAATCAGATGACTTGACAGGTGATTGAACAGTGATTTAACAGGAGATTAGTTAATTTTAGTGTTGACAAGCCTTTCAGAAACCGGGTGTAAGTTTAACCAGGTAAGCATTATTAAGATCCTCCTAATCTCTTAAATTTAAAGATTGACAATGGATATGTAATTCTATTGGATGACCTACTTGTAACCTGGCAACACTTTTTGAACTTCGAAACAGATAACCTTATTACTATTTTTATACTAAGATTCTATTAAAAATCAACTGGAGAAAATTAAACAGATTTTGTACATTAGTTATTTAAAACTTTTAAAACCATAACGTTGTGACCTTGACTCATTTAGGGCATTTTAACGAGGCTCACTGTATATTTTAGAAGTTTGTTGCCAGAATATATTATTTATTAGACTGAGCTGTACTTTCCAGGCCAATCATGTATAATTTATTGCATTCCAAGATGGGAATTTTAGTATTTAAAATTTCTAGCTCTAAATTTAACCAATTTGGATAAAAAAATTGCCTATTTTAGGATACCTTTCCATCCAAAAGCATCGAACTTTCAACCTTTTATTTCAAAGGTACTTACTAAAATCCAAATCGAAGTGCTTACGTAATTCAAGATTTAATTCTGAATCTAGTATAAAGCTACAAAGATAAAGGACTTCTGTTCTATCACCCGCAAATCTGACTATCCAAACTGTTACGTTGGAAAAATAAGAATAGTATTTATCATAATAATGTTAACTAAGCCCTTATTCTACTTTGAAACCATGTTTTATACTACAATTTAAAATCTGTCATTTTGAAAATACAATTTTATTAAGTATCAATTAGTGGTTCGCTCTTGGTTCGTAAGGTTGTCCAACTCTCTCTTATGTCGCTTCCCAATTTACACCTATACATATCATAAAGTTTCTTACATGAAAAACCTTCTCTTAAACATTAATGCCCGTTTTCACCAACAGCCCCTAAAATTTAAGTGTCTCTTAAGCCAATATAAGGGACACTTATCGCGAGTTTTGTTTTCACCAACGTTTAAGTGTCACCTATATCATTAGGGGTTCCTTATAATTTAGGGGATGAATTGACGACCCCGTAACGTTTAAGTGACACATAGTGTTAGGTTATTTTGCGAATCACCAAACAGTATTTTATCCTACTGAATAAGATAAAAAATAATAAAAATGGATAATAACCACTATTTTGTTGAAGATTTTAAGCAATTGAAGATATGGAATTGTTAAGTAACCGACATTTGTATAGACGACCTCGTATTTATCGTGAAAGATCGAAAGATTTTGAAAAATATGATGAAAAAGACTTTTTCATAAGATACAGGTTCCCTGCTCAACCTTACTTGTATTTAAAGAAATAAATCTGTGGCACCGATTAACCAATTACTGTGTGCCCTTAGATTTTATGCAACAGGCAATCAATTATTATCTGTAGCAGATCTCAATCCCATCAGTGTATCTATTTGCAGTAGAATTATAAAAAGAGTGTCTGACGCTATCGTGGGTCGTGGCCACGGAGTAAGAACAAAGTTTTTGTTCTTACTCCGTGGTCGTGGCAAAGCGAATTCATACAATTTCCAGACACCGAAGAAAAACAACAAATAGTAAAAGACGAATTTTACAGAATAGCTCGATTTCCAAATGGTTTTAGGATGTATAGACTGTGCATACATAAAAATTCAATTATAAGGTTGGGCGTTTAGAGAAACACAGGTCCTTACGAGTAACCATTTATTACTGAATCTCCTATGAAATAATACATGATTTAATAAGATGGATAGACACGCACACATACAGATACGGCAGATCTTTGTGTCATATTTATTGAGCCTCCAGCGAACACCGTCGTTCGCACACCTATCGTCTTTCTATGATGTCTCTAATAATGATATTCAAAAGTCTTTTAATTGTATTAACTAGAAACTTGTTTACATTTATTTATGTGATAAATTATAGGAGGAGATGATGCCGAACTATTCCGGAATATGCAAACAATAAGTACTGCAAAATTATTAATAACTGATGTGGTGACACGCTAGCCAGGATAAACAACATTCTTTATCTTCAAGTGAAAAATTTTGACCACGATTCCTCTTTTCTGCCATTGTAATTAATAAAAATTTGGTATTTTTTGAAAATACACGAAATGATTGAAATGAAACTGTCACTAGATAGTGGCATCAAAATGTCACCGGCACCGCGTCTTTGTAAGCTATGGCATTCAACATACAGCCAAAAAATAAAAACACAACTTTTTGTTACTAATCTAACATTCACCAGTTCAAGACTCTTCTTTTCGAAATAAATTGAAGTTAGAAAAGTTAATTAGGTACTTGTTTTAAGGTTGTATATTTACGAAAATAACAATAGAATTGTCTAATCGATTCATTTATCGATAACTGTTTGCATAGTTCCTCAACACTAAACGTCACCTAATTAGGGGGGCTCTTAATTAGGTGACACTTAGGACAGTGAAACAAAATTTAAGTTAAGGGATGATTTGAACGGTCCCCTAAGTTAGGTGGCCCTTACTAAGGTGACTTTTTAGGGGCTGTTGGTGAAAACGGGCATAAAAATCACAACAAAAAAGAAAAGAAATAGCAAAATTGGTCCAGGCGTTGTTGAGTTATGCGCTCACCAACACATTTTGCGAATCATTTTCATATAAAGATATAGAGATTGAAGAAGACCTCTTAAGTCTGTTGATGACAGTGTAGCTTAGCAAAAAATTGTTGAGCAATAAAACGAAAAAAAATGAAAAAAAATATCACTCACACATCATCGTCAGCGGTAATGTAGAAGGCAGAACACTGTGAAGACGCATGTTGTCGCACGCAGACCCGCAAACGTGGTCTACTACCACGCAACTTCTGCAGTAGCCATAACAGCATACTGTCTGGGAGACCTGTTGAAAATGTAATTGTTAAGGTACCTGAATAATTAATTTGAATAATATGATATTTTTCTGAAATATCTTAATTTATTTCTCAGCTAAAGAAAGAGGGTAGGTACTTGAGTAAATATTGAACATATTTCTCCAGTAGAAACTATTTTCAAAAACGCTTTTTCTGTCCTTTTATCTTCAAGTTTATTGAACCTCTTATCTACCGTTATATGAAAAACAATAGAAAACACATTGCGTCTAACGTGAATCTGCGTTCCAGCGTTAAATCTTTGAAACTACGCAACGGATTTTGATGCGGTTTTTTCACACATAGAGTAATTGAAGAGGACCTTTTATATGTATATACTTAGTCGGGTCATAAGTTCTGTCACAAACTTTTGATGTAATAACTTATACGCCTTTTGACAATTATTTAAAAATTATATATGAAATGAAAGGTCATTAAATGTACAATATAATTTTATTTACATTATTCGAAATGCCCTCCCCCATTTTGAACACATGCCCTTAATCTACGCGGCCAGTCATCGATCGCTGCACGCACCACATTCATATCTATGTCTGCCGCTGCTTTAACCAGAGATGCTCGGAGAGACTCCAAATTCGGGTGAGGTTTAGCACAGACTTTTTCCTCCAAATATTGCCATATCTTGTAGTCCAGTGGGTTTAAATCTGGACTAGAAGAGGGCCAGTCTTCATGCCGGATGAAGTCAATTCCACGAGCGATCAACCAGTCTTGCGTACTTCGTGCCTTATGAGCCGGTGCAGAGTCCTGTTGGAATATCCAATGCCTGTTCCTGAACATTGTCTGAGAAAGAGGTTCCACTATGTTTGTTAGGACAGTATTTTGATAAACTTCGGCACTAGTTCTCACACCTTTTTCACAGAAAAACACCTCAGTTACGCCTGAATATGAGACTCCAAGCCAAACCATGAATGAGGAAGGGTAATGCCCACGCTGGACCCTCGCAATACGCGCGCTTGCTTCTTCACTGCTGTGGGCATACACCTTATCATTTTGTTTGTTAAAACTTTCTTCAATAGTAAAAATTTTTTCATCCGAAAAAAGAATTTCGCGGTATTTTTTTCCCGCGTACCGTCGTAGCAAAGCGCGGGATCTGTCTAGCCTAATTTTTTTTAAACGCTCGTTCAAAAAATGTCCTGTCTTTTTACGATAAGCTCGTAGTCCCAGGTCTTCATTTAGTACTCTTTTAACAGTGGTTCTGCTTAGCCCCATCTGCAGAGCTAGGATTTTTTGTTTACGTACGGGATTTCGTTCGATTCGCGCCTTCACTGCTTTGATGACCTTATGTGTCCGAACTGTGCGAGGTCGGCCGCTTCTCTTACGATCTTCGAAGCTTGACTCTTCGGTGTATCGTTTGATAGTACGATAAACAAACCGTAACGTTATTTTCAAATTTTGAAGAATATTGAAAATGTCTTTTGGCGCGTAACCACAGCGGTGCAACGCGATAACCGCGATTCTGTCTTCTTTATTCGACCACTCCATATTTAAAAATGAATAAAAAATAATTTCTTTTTTATTTTCTACAAGCGCGAAAGTTCTATTTTTAAAATAAGTCGAAGAATTTCTGGCCAGTAATCGAAAATTAAAAATATAAGGTTTTGACAGAACTTATGACCCGACTAAGTATATGTATAATAACTTCCATTAAATAGTGGAGAAATTTTGTATTAGCATTGTACCCGCGCGAATCCGGTGCAGGTCGTTAGTCCTTAAATAAAACTGTCAAACGCATATTATGCCTACAAGAAAAATTCTGCAAGGGTAAATAAGAAAACAAAAATGTTTTGAATTCGATTCTAATTGTTCAGTTCAGAAGAAGAGTTCAGAATTAGACTTTTCCTCTGAGAATATAGATTTATAATTAGAGATAATTTCCATTACGTTAGCAATCGAAGACCATCTCAGACTCATATGCAGACAAAAATTCGGAAGTTCCGATACAAATTACGTACGTGATTTATCCGTCTACATCCTAAACCTTTATTTTTCTCGATTCCATTTGTTGGCTTGCCGCCAGTTTCCGCTTTACATCAGTGATCGAGTCAAGCCCTCATTAACAAGTTCATGACCAGTTCGTTCATCCGTTATGTTGGTTGTTCCTTTAAGTAAACTCGATTTGGCAACGAGCCAGTACATTTGTGACGAGTAAAGATTAACTTAATTGTGGTGTATAAAGTAATCGAGTTCCGATGTTGTGATAACTATGGAGATCGTCGTACCCAATAATTATTCGATTTAAAAAGCGATCATTAATTTTCTACGGCTTTAGTCATATTTACCAGTTTTATAAAAAGGAATGATTTGATTGCTTGTTTGTTAAATTTGAATAGGCTTCAAAAATACTTGACCGATTTTAAGAATTCGTTCAGTTTTGGAAAGCTACAATTTCCTTAATAAACATAGGCTATACAAGGTAAGTTCGCTAGCTAGATAAATGTAAATATCTTGAGTAAAATCCTGTGCCAAATAATTTTCAACAGACGTATGTACATTAAACATGGCCAGGCAAGATTTCCTCCCTCGGCATTGTAAAATTAAAATATTTTAACGCAAACGGAGCAAACACAGGTCGCCTAAGTAAACCATTAAAACCTTTAATAAAGGCAACCTCTACCTTACATTTTCAAGTTCTGACGTGGAAATTGTATGTACCAAATTACGCTAGCAGTTAACACGAACATTTTTACGTAAAATGGCGTACATCAGACAAAATGTAAAGGCTTGCTGAATACCAAGTCTGGAGTCACGCCAAAACTTTTATACCGACTAGAGTAAAAATATCCTAGCCAACTTGGTATCTAAACTAACATTTGTTTTAAACATGAAATGGAGCCATTTCTGGACACATTTCAAAGCAAACAATGCTCATGGGAAATAGTTACACGGTTTTTTTCAAACTAAAGAGACAGTTATGAAATTTTACTTTGCGAAAAATAATATTACTTTGTTAGAAATTATAAAATCCCTCGTCTTTGTCTGTTCAAAGAGGCAACGATTACGGTCGTCTCGTAGGACCGTCTTGTAGTTTCTGCTAAATTACTCATCTCGGACTTAAGATAATCTCTTCAAAAACTCTGAAATTAATTTCATTTTTGTGCTACTCAGAGCGAGGTTAAATGGAATTATGTAAACGAATCGAATAGCGAAAACAAAGGTATAAATGATTACAATTAATTACGGTAGCTCTGACGTGCAGTAAATAACTTATTCATATTCAAACAACCGGTACAAAGACCTTTTGCAAATGAAAACCCGCAACACATTCGTTTCACATTTTACCTTTCGCCTTCACAATATGTTTCCAAGCTAAACATGTACTTTACATTAATAAATTCATGGAGGTTCGCCGCAGAACCGATTACCGTATCTGTTCGATACAAAGCTGGGGAATCAATTGAATGTCGTTTCCTAATGCGAACAGTAAATACTCAGATTTATAATTCGTGCGCGTACCATGAAATGTGACAGCTTTAAGACGGGTCTTGTAAAGAAGAACACAGCTGTTTTATGAATATTTCGATGAATAATGAGATATTTCTGAGCAGTCAGCCGTTTTTTTTTTCATTTCAAGCCACTGTATACACAAACAGCTGTGATTTATGGGCGATACTTATGTACACCACAGAGAAGTAATAAAAAAAGGAGGAAAGTTATAACCTAACATCACAATTTTTACAGGTGAATGAATATCCGAGGGTTGAATATCGAAAGAAGATTTTTTTAAACCGATAAGATCCACATTATATTTAGCCAAGAACCTGAAAAATCGTTAAGTGCAGTGAAAAGTAAGAAGCTTTCTATAAGGGCGTCGAGCAAAGTGGTCCTTTTGGGAGAACCGGGACCCACTTAGCGGCTGTCAATTCCAAAAGCACTTTCTTCCTTCAATTTTGTCGAGTCGGTCGTATTCGCGATCGTGGTAAAATCGACAAAACGCTTGACCTCACATTCTGAACGGAGACCGTTTAGCGAACAATGGAAAGGTTATTTTCGCAGAGTTTCAGGTCAAACAGAACGAGGTTGAGTATATTATTCAATTATTTTTAATCAGGCTACAAAAATTACCTAAGTAATCAGCTATAGTTATACCCTTTTGTTTATTACGAAAAACGTAAAGTTAATGCAAAATTTATGAATAGGCGATTGTATAGTGAATAAATCCTCACATTTGAAGGTCATCCATAGCGGGTAGCATATTCTGATGACGGCTCATAAAGAATGGAAAAGCTGTTTACTGCAAATTAGGGGAGAAAATACGAACATAACATGATTGAAAACCTTTCCACTTACTTAATAGATGAACAACAATGAGCTCAGCTAAAGAGGGAAGGGTTAACTACGACTTATTTATTTTCGTAACTTCCAAATACGTTTTCGTTTATTTCTTTTAATTTCACTTCGAAAAAGTTTTCCTTCCTGAATGACCATTTTATTGCATAGACTTCTTAGTTTGTTTTAAATATTCTAATTGAAAGAATTCGTTAAGGCTTTAGAGTTTAGATCGATAACGAAAACTTGTAAATATGTTAATTTATACAATTTGGATGTTTGCAGGCAAAATTCACACCTTCAGGATGAACTCTATTAAAATTAAAGTAGGGTAAGATTAGTTAATATCCGCAATAAACCATTCAACTTACCCGATATTATCGTAATATAAGGCAATCATTCTTCTCAAAACATTCCAAAAAGTAAATTTACTACATCAAAAATTCTGAGATAACTTAGGCGCTTTCTCCGAGACATATGAACGTTATCTTCATCGGCGAAATGAAGGTGTAGCATCATAAATCCTACGCGTTTCATATTGGGTATTCCCTCGAGAAAATATAGGCGTGACCGTAACTAAAATGTTGAGATAAAACATGGCGAATGTCTTCATAGAAACGGCAGTCTCACTAGTTGGAACGTTACATTACAAAAGCAGCTTTCATTAATAAATGTCAGAGTTGCTTGATTAATTTCGAATTTTGTGGACCAGAGGATGGATAGAATCCATTTACTAAATCACTGCGATGTCTATCCACGTTTTAATCGACGGGATTTGGTTTCAGCTTTTTTTTCATAGTATGAAATTCGCATTTCCCTATTTTGTAAGAACCTATGAAAATTGATTATAAAAAATAGCGTGCTCATACTTTTCAAAAGTGATCGTAATCTTGACGAACTGCTCAAAGGGACTTTTATCGATCGTGGCGCCCCCTAATGACCAAATTCCCGCTTAAAGATAACCAGCAGGATATAGGTAAGCTCGATTGCATGTATTATGGTAATATAAAACATGTAAAGAAATTAGGCTTACGAAGTCTATACAATACACTTACTGGCAACATTCCAATTGCCTACATACAAATGCTGTCCATATTTCAATAATAATAACAATACAAAGTAACTGTGTGTGCGTAAGGGTTGGTTGGTCACATTCTAGTACATTTGGGTCGGGTAAATGTACGCTCTATGTGGATATTATACACTTTTTACTGTAATTTTATTAACAGGGAAAATGCTGTGTAGAATACAATGAAAACAACACGCTACACCCTTATGTGTTTCACAGTGTGCAAAGTTTTTATACACGCTTTTAAAATAATCAGAACACAATAAGTACTTTGTATTCGCTGAAGGAATAACTTGATCTGGCCGATATTTTTTATCCCTTATGTATACGTCATACGTATTACGATTATGATTTTAATGTCCCAATAAGGATTCAATGGCTAATCCTCAGTTTAAATTAGTCGCTTGGGACAGTAAGATATAGTTAGTTGCTATTCAGAAATAATCGGTGGCGTAACAGCACTCGATAAGTAGTTATCCTAACTTTAAACAGCAGCATTGACTAAGTTGGAATTAGCTTGAACTGCCCTTACGCGATAGTGGCGCCAGTTACTTGGAACTAATAAAAACAAAAACCATCTACAAGTTATAGAATTTCCCTAGGCGAGCGTGAGAAAAATACGGGTCGTCGGAAGTGTACATGAGCATTACATATTTTACGCGAACTTCAAACCCATACATAATTTTACACTGCAGTGCACCATTTTCTGTTTGAAAAACTTGCAAATATGTACCACATCACATAGGTACTAGGTATAGGTATTTGTGCTTTTAATAGTGGTAAAGCCTAGTGGTCCTAACTCATAACAAGGGTTGGACTAAATATTTATTTCAATTTCTAGATGTCATAAATCTAAGTTACCTTTTCTAGTTGAATCTGACTTTGTGACAGATGTAGTACATAACTTAAGTTCTAGAAGTAGTGTATAAGCAGGGTAAGTATTATCCTAATGAAGGGATAATGTCACAAAGTATAAAAACAAAAATCAAAGCGAAGAAAAATGGCTACCTTCAGTAAGTTAAGCACAAAATTATTTTTACAAACACAAAATATCTAACATATAACAGCGTTGCATCGCATAAAGGACTGGACAAAAATGCCATCGAAAAACGCATCGTTACTTCGGATAGTCAGAAACAAATGGACTTTTGATGGTCTGGTACCAGCGCGCAATTTTTTGCACTAGTTATTTTATACAAACGCGAGAACATTTTGCCAGATATTTTGTACGCGACCGCTTTTCTCCGTTGCACTAATTACAGTACCTAATTACAAGCATATTTTTGATGTCTTTATGTTTTCACATTTGCTAGACCATTATATCCCTTAGGTTCAGTTTGTGGCAGGAATCGGTGGCGACAAACTCTCGCGCTCGTTTAGCCGAGGTCATGGTGTGAAAAAAGAGGAACTGCGAAGCTGTTTTCTCCTTGTAAGGAGATGTGCACATTGCGGGCGTCGGGGATTAAGCGACCACCTCTGTAGACGACAGCCAAAGGTAGCTCGCCACCCGACCAGAACCAGACCCAAGCGCACCACTTCAGCGTGCGCCTCTTAGAGGCATCATATCAACGCAGATGGAGCCCACTTGGCCGATGTCCCACGGCAGGCCCGAAGAGAAGATACGGTGAGGTATTTAGTCGGTATGACTCCGAAACTTCCCCTAGTCCCACGCAGCCATTGGATGATTTATCCCCGTCAAAAAACAAAACCTTAACCAAGGAATATATACAATTTGCAACCACTGCCGACAAACATAAACAATATCGAAGTTAAAACTGGCAGTACCTACCTATAATTGTTGGAGATATCATATTATCGTTAATGGTAACTCCGTATGTTGTTGTAAGAAATTCAGACTTACCTACTACTGTTAGGTATATGAGTTTTTTTACCGACTACCAATTAAAGATTAAGTTTAGTAATCTGAACGTCCCTTTACGTATATTGCGTAGGTATCTTAAGTTAGTTCCGATCGCCCCACATTGGCACTTGACAGCGATTTTTTTGTTCGTATTTCGATGCATTGTAAAGCAATCAACATAATCTGCTGTGTGAACATTATGGCTTGTAGAATAATATTTAAATATGTTTGTATATTACCTATATGAATGTAGGTATTTTTAACACTATAGATTTACGTGTCTTTACAGCTATCATCTATGTTACGATCAACAGCCCATGACAGTTCACTGCTAGGAGGCTGATTGGAGTAGGCCTTGTAGTAGGTGATAAATCAGTATTTCTTAAATAGTAGCTATCTTACTAATTTAAATGCGCGACGTCGCCGTCACGCGCACGTTGCTTACGAATAAGAGTCCCGCTATGACTCGAAACTAGTAGAGTTTTTCTCAGTTATCACACGTGAGTAAGACATTATTTTCAATAAATTAAGAAAGCATTAATGCCAAGCCATTGAAATGTGTTAACTGCTAGTCATTGATTGCTACATCATATTGTGTGTGTTTAATGTGTTTTGCATTGTCTCCATCATATACGGCTTCTTTTACAGTACAGATATATTTGAAATAAACTTTTCTAGTGCTTCTTAAAAACATCTTATATTAACTCTCTCTTTATGACTCAGATTGACTAGTAACTAGGTACATACATCAGATCTTATTGAGAGTAGCCTTGAAATAACCTGAAGTCAATTAGATCAATTGTCAGCTTCATGAGCACTCATTTAATCTCTAAACTAGTAGATTACTATATCCTAAGTATTGAAATACTTGATTAATATTTAACAAAATCATCAAAATATATTTATTAATACTTTGTTTTTCCAAGATAACCATGACTTTGAAATTGTTATTTATTTGTTTTATTTAATTGATGCACACATACTCAAAGAAACCTATCAACTAAGGTGATTACAGAAAAATATTATTGGTAAAATGATAAAGATTTGACATAGACCCAAAATAGGTGAATGAGCAAATCTACAAATTTAGTATCAAAAAATTACTAAAATACTTTTATTTATAATTTTGTAAATATATATAACAGAAAAATGTTTGAAACATTCTAAAGAGTATAAAATAATGCGGAAATCTAGTGTATCTTACCTTTAGGAAATATTAAGACAACATCGGTATGCTGTGTGGGGGTGGAATGTAGTAGTAGACGGCGAGGGTGCATGAGGTGAGCACCTAGTTGGCCAGCCATTGGAAGGCGGCGCCGGAGCTCACGACCAGCTAAATAAATTTTTTCTCTTTAATGTTAATGTTAAAGTATATAAATTCAGAATAAAGTGTATAATTACTGAAAAAAATATTGTTAAATAAAGTTTTTTTTTTCATTGGCCACTTTTTCTCAGAATAAAAAATAATATATATTAAATTTTATTAAAAACTAATTATTTTATAACTAATACTGTTTCGTGGCTAAAAACACTTAAGTGATGATTATTAAAAAAATATATTTTTGGGAACACAATAATAATTATGACATTTAACAACTTTTTTCTTTTATTGTGTGAATATAATTTAATATACATGTCACTATACAACTTAGACCACATTAATATAGCATCCTAATTTTTTATTCTATAATTTTATAAAACCTAATTACAAAAAGTTGTTTTTATAATATAAGAGCACAAAAAGATAGCATTAATAAGTAATTTGTGATTTTTCTCATGTTTACAGACTTATATTAAAGCATCTGTTTACAATAAAATATAACAATACGCACCGCTATCCAGTTTGTCTTTCGCGAACTCCGCAAAAGATCTGTGTTCTTGGGGGGTTGAATGAGTACTGCTCTCATAATCTTCTTTGTCGGGATTTCCCACACTCCCATCTTCACCCTCCATGGCGAAAACTCTTGAAACAGTCCTCAAGACAATAACAATAAAACTATGCACTCACAGCCACCCGAGACCTTCAGTTTCTTACATCATCGACTATTATAGTAACTACGATCATATGTTGCAACTATCGCACCTAATTATAGATAAAGAGTGTTACGCCCCATATAACGAACAAAGACGACTAACACTTTTCCGTGCTAACACCAGGAACGCGCTTTATTTACTTGATAAATAATTTATTTTGTGGTGATACTACTGCGGCCGCGGCTGTCACAATTCAAAATTGATTTTTGGCCGCCATTTTCAAGTTGGTGTTGCAACTCATGTACCGGTTAAAAAATATCTTTTGCGTCATTATAAATTGATGTAAAATGAATATTGTTTTACATCCACTGTTGTTAGATTTTTAATATAAGTATCGTTAGTGTCATCAATTTAATTACGCCATCTTTATCTTGAACAATAAAAATCAAGCATTGATTTTCAATACTTGCAACATTATAACAAAATGTCAAATAAACATCAAAACAAACGTTCGGATACGCTGTTTGAAAAAACGACTTTCCTTAACGGAATAATGTCATTAAAAGTATTTTATAATGAATTGATAAATTATTTGTTTCCTTTAATTCAGCAATCAAAATTAAAGAAATTGGTTGTACTTAATTTGCCGCCTAGATTTTCACAACTTGTGACATAAATAAAGATTTTTATTTCTGTCTTGTAAGATCATTGCGATGGTAATCCGAACGTCATAAATATTCGACTTTTCTGTCAGTTCATTTGTAAACGTTAATTTGCGCGATATTACAAGTTACAATGGACGTGTAAACGAAAAATAACGTCCCGACTTTCTCTTAATTGTAATTTAACTTCTACAAACGACAACATACGCGCAACGGAGCAGGGAAAATAGTGTTAAGCTTGATACTAAACTTGTGAAAAATACAAGGTACGTAAAACCTTTAGTATTCATAAATGACCTTTCTTTGTACTCATGTAATCGTCGCAGTTTTCTAAAATTATATTTCTGCTTTGACTTTCTTGTATGAAATTGCAAAATGTATGTATATTCAGTCGTCTCTATTGTAGATAACGGTTTGCCTGTGTTTCTGACGCTGTATTTACTGTTTTTTTGCTAACCCACTTTCACAAAAAAACACAGCTGTTAAAGTCGTCACGCCTAAATATTTAACAGCTGAGCTACTGTGTCATCAAATACAAACGTCGCTCCTCGAATAATATCAACAAAATTAAGTAATAATCATGTAACTGTTACCTATTTCAATTAATTTCTATTAGTATGTTTGTAGGTGAAATAAAAAAAAATCGATTATATTTTTGTTATGTATTCTATCTAAAAGGAGCAAGGTAGTCTGTTTTTAAACACAATATATACCAATGTGTACCTTGAAAAGTGACAGTGATTTGTTCAATTTAAATATTCATATTTTATATTTTCTCCAGTGTAAAAACTGATATGATTGGATTTAGTCAGTGGGTAGCATTAGGGGCGGATTTTTTATCACTTTATTATCATTCTATAAATTAAATTTAAACTAGGTAAATAAGAATTACGAAAATGCTATGTTACACTTTCATGTTCTTATAAGATATTGTTTTGTTTTAAAATTCTTATTGGAAATACCCATATCAATTTATACATTAAAGCATATGGTAGCCTTATTCAATCTGTTAACAGTGAGACAACTACAACATGAGAACAACTTCATAGTAGTTCAGAAAAGTGGTCATTAACTGACATACTGGTAAAAAAATTATTCATCATTTTTGCATTTTTACTGTTTTTTAAATTCACCCAATTAGTTTGATGTTTAACAATTTAACAATAAAAATATTCTATATATAGCAAGCAGTTTTTAGTTTATAAATATAATTGAATTACAAAACTTCAATATGAAAGTAGTATATATCTGAAAATGGTGTGTCTAACTAAATTATGCATAATATTAATATATTTGTAAATCAACCTTCACAAATGCTTACCTGATAAAACCAGCTTCTGATATTATTTCCATGGCCACATGGTGCATAGGCCTCTCCTATTGCACGCCACTGGGATCGATCTTCGGCCACTCGCATCCAGCTCCTGCCAGCCATCTTGCGCAAATCATCACTCCACCTTGCCTGAGGACGTCCTACATTACGTTTGCCGAGACGCGGTCTCCACTCAAGAACTCGTCTACTCCAACGGTCATCGGTTCTTCGGCTAATATGGCCAGCCCAGCGAAGATCGATCCCAGTGGCGTGCAATAGGAGAGGCCTATGTCCAGCAGTGGACTGAAAAGGGCTGATGATGATGATGGTGCATTTAAAAAAAATTACCTTGCATACTACAACAACTTTAAATTAAGTAATGAAGAGTAAATGTTACCATGTTATTTAGTATTAAACGTGGTCTATTTATTTTCTTACCAATCTGGAAGCTCCGGAGACCAAATCGTGATCGATGTATTTCTCTAGTATGACAACACTGACACTTTATAGCGATAATTTAGGTTTATTTGGTTACAAAATATTTAAATTATTTGTTTATTTATTTAGTTTTATATATTGCACACATTCGACATGATCTTCTTTTTATTCACGAGTGACATTAAATTTTTCTAACAGTTAGTTGCCTAGCAATGTACCAAAGAGCTTTTCACTAGTGCTATGCAACCTCAACACTTTCCCTCACTAGTTGGAAAGATCTTGCAGACCCAAATCCTCTCTCAGTTTAACGAGTCTGGGTCTTGGTACTGCCTTCGTCAAAAGGTCAGCCAATTGCTCTGTGGAGCTAGTTTTCTGCACATTCAATAGACCTTCTTGCACAATTTCACGTACAAAGAAGTGACGTATTCGGATGTGTTTCGTCCGTTTATGAAATTCGGGATTGTGGGCAAGGCGAATGGCTGCTTCATTATCCATGCTTAAAGTTGATATGTCCGCCAAACTTGTAAGTTGAGCATAGATCCTCTGAAGCCACACAAGTTCTCGTGCACCTTCGCTCGCTGCCACAATTTCCGCTTCGGTTGTTGAAATCGCGACCGATGCTTGACGTTGGCTTAGCCACGAAACAACTCCATCAGCATACATACAAATAACGCCTGTGGTTGAGCGTCCACTAAGCTCATCACCACCGTGATCTGCATCACTATATCCTCGAATTACAGCTTTGCAAGGACCCGAACTGTATTTGATGCCATGGGACATTGTTCCTTTAAGGTATCTGAAGATCCTCTTGACTCTCAGCCAATCAGCTTCTGTCGGATTCTCCAACTTTCGTGATACTACCCCAACAGCATACGCGATATCGGGGCGCGTTCCTGTCATCAGGTATGCTAAGGCTCCTACTGCCTCTCGATAAGGAAACTTTTTCTCAGGTGCTTTCCCTGTTTCTGAAGTCACTGTTTCGATTGGTGTAGAGACGGGATTGCAGTCAATCATATTGAAGCGTTCGAGGATCTTCCGCGTATAAGCTTGTTGGCTTATAAATATAGATCCATCCTTGGAACGTTCTATTTCAAGGCCAAGGTAATACGAAGCCGGCTTGCTTGTGATTTTGACAGCTTGTCCCAGCTCCTTCAAAATTATTGCCCCCTTCTGTCTTTGTAAAGAGACAACAATCAGCTTCATTCTGTGTGAATCCTTTTTGCAACAGAATGTCTTCAATGCACATGTTCCAGCAACGAGGAGCTTGCTTTAGGCCATATAGACTCCTCTGTAGCCTGCATACTTTCGAAGAGCCATCAGAAAAGCCAGGAGGTTGTGACATGTATATTTCCTGCTCTAATTTCCCATTTAAAAAGGCTGTCGCGACGTCAAATTGTGTTAAATGAAGTTTCTCTTGTGCAGCAACGCTTAAAAGAGCTCTAATGGTAGACATCCTGGCTACCGGACTATATGTCTCCTCATAATCTAGCCCTTTCCGTTGTCTGAACCCTTTAACGACCAATCGCGCCTTATATTTGTCTATGCTTCCATCTGGGTGTCGTTTAATCCGAAAAACCCATTTACATGGTAGCGCCTTTCTATTAGACGGGAGCTCGCACAGTGTCCATACATTATTCTCCTTGAGTGACTGAAGCTCGCTGGCCATGGCTTTCCGCCATTCCGCACCGTCAGTTCTACTTATTGCTTCATGGTAGCTCTCTGGAAAGTTTTCTGTGCCTACAAAGCAGACGTAGTCATCGAACTTCTTAGGGGGAGCAAGAGTTGACCTGTCTCTAAGGTTATATCTAGGTTCCTCTTCTCTCTGGGGCTCATCTCTCAGGGGCTCGACTACAATTTCCTCTTCTTCCCCTTCTAGTCGAGGCACCTCTACTCTCAGAGGCTCAACTATGTCAAGAGGTTGCTGTTCCCCTTCAGCCGGAAAATTCTCTTCCCCTTCAGCATCGACAAACTCTCCATCATCATCTTGCTCAGTAGTATCAGTAGCATCCTCAGACCCTAACCGTAATGTGAATTCAACATTACTTTGAAAAGTTATGTCTCTGGATTTGAATGTTTGATGTCCGTCCCACACACGATATCCATCGTCGTTTTCATAGCCAATAAGAATGCCTTTCATGGCTTTTTTAGACATTTTGTTACGCTTCTGCTTTGGGATATGTGCATAACACTCACTACCAATAACCTTGAGGTGTGATATTCGAGGTTTTTTGCCGTGCCATAGTTCGTATGGAACTTTGTCTGTCACTCGACTTGGGCCTGTTCTATTCAGAACATACGCTGCGGTATTAATCAATTCCGCCCACAAAATTTGCGGTAACTTATTCCTTGCATGCATCATACTTCTCGCGGCCTCTACCAGGGTTCGGTTCTCACGCTCACTACACCCGTTCTGTTCCGGTGTGTAAGGCATTGTCAGTCTGTGCTGTATACCAAAATCCTGTAGTATTTTCTTGACGTCCTTATTATCAAACTCGCCACCGTTGTCACTAAGCAAGGTTTTCACATTATGCCCAGCATTCTTTGCCTCTTTCAGCATCTGCAGCAACTTGTCCTTGACTTCTGACTTCTGACGTATGAAGTAAACCATACGGTAGCCTGAGTAGTCGTCCTTGAACAATACGTAGTACCGGAGTTTAGTTATGCTTGGTGCAAAAGGACCGCATACATCTGTATGGATTAGCTCTCCACATACAGTAGCTCTTTCCCTGGTTCCAAAGGTCTGTCTTTGGGACTTCCCATATATGCAGCCTTCGCATTTAATATTATCAGGCTTGAGGTTCACGCCTAATTCACGTTTTACGACGCGTATTACATGCCGCTTGTCCTGATGTGCAAAACGCTCATGATAGAGCTGCAGCATATTGGAACCGGTGACAGCATTTACCTGTATAGCTCTCGGTGTTGTTGGAATTACCGTTTTAAAGTCCAACTTGTAAAGGCCTCCCTTTGGGATCCTCCTGCCAACGACTTTAGTCATGCCTTCAATTTCCAACTTGCATTTTTTTGTCGTTGATGTAAAAATACTGTTCTGCGCTCTGTCTTGTGCCGCCAACGGTGAAAAGAGATTTTTTGTGAGTGATGGTACTAGCCAGACTTCTTCAAGAGTAATATGGACTTTAGTTTCGTTGACCTTGGATTCAACTTTAATAGAACCTATTCCAACTGCAGGAATCACAGTCCCATCCGCTGTAGTTACTGTGTGATTTGAATCGAATTCACGAAAATCCGTAAACATCTTTCTTGAAACGGCTATGTGCGTGGTTGCTCCGTTATCAACATACCAAGATTCTTTATCTTGTATTTGATTAACTGTGCACGCGTTCACCATCAGCGATAAGTTCTGCACTTGGTTAGATTTAATGTCTGAATGTGACGTGCTTGGCTTTGGTGGTCTTCCATCCTTTATCCATTTCTTGCACTGTCTAACTCTATGTCCTTTACCGGAACAGTAGTTACATTTCAGATCATTTCTCTCCTTCTTGTGCTTACTCTTTTGCTCTGCAGGTGTAGTCACCAGTGCTTCCTTATGGATGGTGCTCTCTGGACCACCTAAATCTCTTTCAAATGCGCAGAGATGACTCGTAAGACTGTCGATCGTTTTCTCAGACTGCTTCAGCATTAACCAGCTCGACTTAAAATTAAAATACCTGTCATCCAGAGTATGTAAAACCTTGCAGATAAGGAATAGATCAGGCAGCTTAGCTGTTGCGTCTACTTTTTGGATCTCCACTACTAGGTCGTTCCATAAATTCTTTAGCTTTGACAGAAGTGTAGGAATATCATCCTCTTGATCCCGTTTTAGCCCAAAGAATTCAAGACACAAGTTGTAAGCCCTGTCCTCTGTCTGCCTATCAAAAAGTCGATGCAGTTCTGCCCAAACTTCGTGTGCCGTTTTGTAACGCATAACCTTCTTTAACGTTTCTTCAATGCACATGTTCCAGCAACGAGGAGCTTGCTTTAGGCCATATAGACTCCTCTGTAGCCTGCATACTTTCGAAGAGCCATCAGAAAAGCCAGGAGGTTGTGACATGTATATTTCCTGCTCTAATTTCCCATTTAAAAAGGCTGTCGCGACGTCAAATTGTGTTAAATGAAGTTTCTCTTGTGCAGCAACGCTTAAAAGAGCTCTAATGGTAGACATCCTGGCTACCGGACTATATGTCTCCTCATAATCTAGCCCTTTCCGTTGTCTGAACCCTTTAACGACCAATCGCGCCTTATATTTGTCTATGCTTCCATCTGGGTGTCGTTTAATCCGAAAAACCCATTTACATGGTAGCGCCTTTCTATTAGACGGGAGCTCGCACAGTGTCCATACATTATTCTCCTTGAGTGACTGAAGCTCGCTGGCCATGGCTTTCCGCCATTCCGCACCGTCAGTTCTACTTATTGCTTCATGGTAGCTCTCTGGAAAGTTTTCTGTGCCTACAAAGCAGACGTAGTCATCGAACTTCTTAGGGGGAGCAAGAGTTGACCTGTCTCTAAGGTTATATCTAGGTTCCTCTTCTCTCTGGGGCTCATCTCTCAGGGGCTCGACTACAATTTCCTCTTCTTCCCCTTCTAGTCGAGGCACCTCTACTCTCATTAGTTGCCTAGCAATGTACCAAAGAGCTTTTCACTAGTGCTATGCAACCTCAACATTTAGAACTTTATTAATTTCTGCTACATGTATTAATTATGATTAATGGCAACTTTAAACGTACGGAAATAAAATTAAAGTTTGGCTTCTTTTATTTAAATTTTTTATTTGTTATTTGTTTTTATCGTCATCATATTAATCTCAGATTATACACTGTCAAATTAGACCTTAGACCTATCAAGATTAATTCCAGATTTGCTGAATAGAAACTGTCTATAACCTATAAGGACTAATCTCATGTATGAAATTACGATTAAAGCCCTATATTACAAGATGCCAATTGTCCCCAGATGTCACACACATGGAGCACAATACCGCTTCTTCCTCTGAGATGCATTCTGGAACATCTCAGCACGGAGGATGCGTTAGCAGCGATGTCAGTCTGTCGACACTGGCGGGACGCTATACATGTCTATGAGGGACACAAGTAAGTCTACTGTTAAAAATTTTATTCTTTTAGAAAAAGCTTGGGCTCTGCTATGCAGGTTTTTTCTAAGATGTGACACTTCCCATACACTTCCCACTTCCAGTAAATGGAAAGACTACTCCAGTTATTAAATCTCCTAGAAGAATGGGCCAGTTTGAATGTTCTTATAAGTAATTCAACAAATATTATTAATTTTAAATAGGATGACAACACAATTGTAGGTCCTCTGGTTTTAAGTGAGCTCTAGTAATTGCGTACCATCAAGTGTTCTTGTGTCTATTCCAAAAAAAAGGTTGAGGCTACATAACAGCAAGTAGGTTCCTACTATGAAACAGTAACCTCTGTATTAATTTTATCTATTCCATACATATATGTACTAAGTTGCAGTATTTGCATTTTGTAAAGAACTATTGTTCCACTACATTGTTATTTGAAACACTACACATAAAAGAGTTGTTTGTGTATCTACATGAGGCCCAGCTATATTAATGAGAGAATTGTTTTAGTGATTGAGCAATTGACTGTATAGAACACAATTTCAAATGTTAATAAATATGTGACACTCCTTTCATGCTTAAAGGGGTCAGCTAAAGACATATACAATGTTACATCTTTAACCTATTAGGTATGCTATGACTCCCAATTATTAAGAGAAGAGAATATTGTAGAAAAGAGTATCGTTGTACTTAAAATATTGAAATTACAAACAATCTAGTAATATGTCCCTCAAGCCAAAAAATTGCTTGGTTGACTCTTCAAAAATTAGTTCACGTGTATCAACTTCGAAATTTACTCACTTGAGTAAGTAGTGGTGTATCTCTTCCTATCCCTTAGGGAACTGAAAAGTGCGATGTTATGTTTTAACAAATCATAACAGTTTGTCTCTGAATAAAAAACGTTCAGAGACCACATAAATTCTTTATTTCGACGACCGTACCTACCGCAACAAGACCTTGAGCTCACCTGTCTTGTTAACGGCCACATACAAAGCAATCGTTTTACTTCCTACCAATAGTAAAAGTAACGTTTGTGAGGTGTAGGTACGCATATTTGTCGCAATGTTATTTCTTTGGTCTCGTCGTATAGCTGGTGGAAAATACCTGTGCTCAATTTACTTAAAACATCATTGCCTGTGCCATTATGAGTACGACTACCTACGCCTTATGGGATAGGCATGACGTTTTAAAAAAGGTATATAAAAGATCAATTGATGGATGAAAGTGTGGAAGAGCTTCGGCACGAATGGTCGGCTCAACCGGAGTGATACCACGGCATCACAGGTAACTCACGTGAAACAGCCACAGCGCTGTGTCCCGCGCGTGTGAGTGAAGTTACCCGAGATCCAATCCTTTTTACACTCCTCCTATCTCTGCCTAACCCTTAAATCAGTGCAAATCTGGTGTTGCCTTTGCCTATGGACGGGTAATCCACCCATGTGCATGTTTGCAGACCTGTAACATAAAAAACCGCTGAGCAGATCTAAATGAAATCTGCCAATAGACAATGATTTGAAATGACTTACTTTCGAGAACCGGAGCGAAGGCGCTGCAAAATGATACGGATGGAACAGTGGCTGGGCAACTAGCTGCTACGCAATGTAGAGCTAGGTTAGGGTCCCGCATGAATGGAGTCTTTGTTTACCCACAAATTGTAGTTTCCTGCTGTATGTGAATTTTTATTTGCAAACGCACCCAGGTTTTGGTAAGAGATCCTAGTATCCCGCAATAAGGTTTCCTCCCTTAAACCTGACCACAACAACTTTTTTGAAGAGAAAACAGTTGTGATATTCCAAGTATCAATGTTTACTTGTTCCCCACAGGGAATTACTGAGGCTGAAAGTGAAACAACTGGAGAAGTGCAAGTTCGTGAGTCGCGTATTCAAGAAGAACGTTCAGAAACTGCACCTCTATATAGACTGCAATGAGCCGGAGCTCGACAAATTCATGAACCTCGTGTTTCCACAGTGAGTATTATAACTCCTTTATTCATTTTTGTATTCTTTATTTAAAATTTTAAAAGTTTCGTTATAAGAAAAGTTGTGAAAGATTAGGTATGGCTTGGAGGTTATGTCGCCCGTGAAAACTGGCAAGTACCAATCTTACTTTTTAATGTCCTCACTAACATACGGTGAAGGAAAACGTCGTGGGGAAACCTGGACTTAAAACTTCTAACAATAAGTTTAAAATCACCTATCCGCCTAGTGCGAGCATGGTGATTAATGTTAATTCGTTATCCGTGTGAGAAGAGGCCTTTTCTCAGCAAGGGGATAGTTGCAGGCGATTTTTATCGCCAACTTTACCATCGCCAATTCCGAGACGAGTGGCCTTAATCTCCCTTTCTCAAAAGGCCGGCCCTATTGTAAGCGACACTGACCTTTTAATGCTTTAGCTTATTTGCCACCTATCCTATATGTAAATACCCATTGTCATAATTATCATATCGTCATAATTTTAAAGGCCTCCTTAGTCGGTTGTTCTTTGAACCTCGATCATGATGTCACCAGTCTGTCTATTTATAATATTTAGACTATTCTTTCTTATTATAAAAGTTTATCATAATCGATTCAGCAGTTTAGACATGGCAGCTTGGTAAATATAAAACAACGTGACTTTTGTATTTTAATCGATTGGTTGATGTGTTTCGAAACTAGATAGCTAAGATTATTTTACAAATTCTGCATTAAAGCACGTAGGTTACTTCCCTCATATAGGGTAGAACATTATTCTGACTTCAACTGTTCATAATATTATGTCAATTTAATAACTACATAATTATATAAAAAGCTAAAATCTTCCGCGGCTTCGCATGCGTATAAAAGTATAATTAATATCCTAGCTGCAGGTGCTTCTCGAGATTGGTCCACGCAGACGTCTGTGGACCTATGGAAGCCATATCTATTGGCGGAATGAAATATTTTTTGTTGTTCGGCGATGATTTCAGTCGGATCGCGTTTGTCTATTTCTTGAAGACCAAAGATGAAGTATTTTCTTTTTTCAAATCATTCAAGACATTAGTCGAAAATCAGACAGGCAGAAAGCAATAGTAGCTAGCAATAGTATTGAAAAACATTTTGGCTATCAGTAAAAGAATTTTCTAATTCCTAAACACAAACTTAACATTTTACCTCTTTAAAATATTTTTGTTGGATAGTTTTTCGTATCTCTCGTACTTACCCTTGATTCGGTGTAGATTCCTGAGATAAAAATGCTACGAATTATTTTTTTTTTTTAATAATTTATGTACACACAATTATATTATTTAGTCAATTATTTTTCTGAAAAAAATAAAAAAGTCCATAAATATATTTTTAACAGACTTCCAAAAGCAGTTCGTATTTGGTTTAACAAATCCGTTCTGTACTATTATGTGTTTACAACATTCACGCATAGACATTGGCATAAGTATAATACTTGTCTGATTACTCAATAAAAATGGAAGCGAGTTTCCCCCTATATTTGTTACATTTCATTGAATGTTACATAAGTAATTATGTCTTAATATTAAGATTCTACAAAATGATGCTTAATTAATGTAATAATATTTTAAAGTATTTGACTTATGAACATCTGTAATGTGTATGTATCTAGGCGGTTTGAAATTAATACAAAGAAGTATGTTATAATAATCAAAGATTTACAATAAAACCTTTGAAGACTTCTGATGTTATGGTCCTTTCTGTCGAAAATTGGTCCTCAAGTCTAGTACTTTAGTACCAATTTTCTTTTCAGTACCTTTTAGTACGTAATTTAGTATGAGTTGACGCTATAGTTAACATTATGGATGAGCGATCAGCTGATGTGCAAATGCCGTGTTCAGTTTGTATAGGTATACTACAAACGATTTCCTGTATTATACCTACATAAATGTGATATATGTAGATCTCAGTACGATAATTCACATCGTTATAGACCATTGACAAGTTCCACCCATAATTTGCTTTGATATGAGCGGTGATGACAGCCTTTTGTATAAAAATAGGATTGTCAATCACAATCAAAAATAGGCAATCGCAAATCACAACCATTGCATGACATGATTGAATACTGAACAATACGAAATAACCTTTGAATCTCCAATGTGCCCGTGACCTTAAAATGCTCTCGGTAATACAAGGTACCTGCCGGTCTTGCAATATCGATTTTAGGTCCCGTCTAGCCTATAAATAGACCTCAGTACAAGCGCACCTACGCTCCGTAAGGGTACATTCCAAATGATAACGTAATCTCACTGTGATTAAATAACTTTTCACGTAAACTCAATCTGGATTATAGAGTTGACATTTGAATGATTTAGAAGAAGAAGCTTGGAAAGTTTCAAGATGGATTAAGGGTGATAAAATCTTGCGGATATTTTTGGTGCGATATAAATATCTAGTAGATTAAATATCGAAGTCGTAGGCAGTAATTGCTTTATCGTGCACCCACCTTTAGTCGTTATGTTTTCATCTGAAGATAAAACGGCTAACTGCTGAACATTATCTAAGGTAATTACTACTTTACGTAATTACTACAATAAATAAATGTTTTAAATCAAACTGTTCTACCTAATGAGTTTGAAAGCAAACACGTGTTTTTGTAATCAAACATGATGCCTAAAGAAATAAACTGCCCAGAGTACCCAGTCATGTTCGCATGACTGGGTACTCTAACGTCTAACGGTTCGGTTCGTCGGACTCTCTAACGGTCTAAGTATGTACCAACATATGTCTTGAACACAATATTCTTCGTTACGTCTGCATAAAGCAAAGACTATTCGATATCAAACTAAACTTGCATCGATTGAGACTATATTAGAACGTGTTTAATCAATACAGTTGGTCGCGTAGCGCCGTCGACGTCCAAATGATGTAACAATGACATCGGTACGCATATCACAATGTAATGTTTACGAAACCATCTCATAATGTTGATTGAAAATAAATAAACCTGTTACAATTATTCAGACCGTCTACTTTCTCGTGTGATCCGTCGCACGAAAGCGGTAGAACCGTAGGACCAATTATGTCGACTGAAGGACCAATTCCGAAAGTGGTTTTTTCGTCTTTGTAGATATAGGTACCTACTGTCTGTTGTATGAACTGACAGAGTCCGTGTAGTTTCTCTTATAGCTATGTACCTAGTTACCTAATCATAAGATTTTTTTTGAACTATTCTTTTATTTTTGGAAACATAACATTTCTTTTCATTGCTTAGGTCAAGTAAAATTTGGTATGGTCAAGCATAACAAATTTTTATAACCCATAAACTTCTTTAACAATATTTTAACCCAAACAAACCTTCAATGCGAATAATTGTACGTATTATCCGTGAGACCTTTCACATTGAACACAGGATCCATGCCTTATTGTTGTTTAATAATATAACAACACTTCGCACGCAGAAGGTCGGGCCAGGGTCGAGTCAAATGTACCAGGAGTTTAGGCGTCGCGCCGTTCGATACCGTGCCCGGGATTCGCGAAGCGCCTCGCGTTAATGAGAAATTTATAATTTATCGTAATGCTTGTAATGTCTGAAGAGTCCGGTCCCTAATTTACTGTTGAAACAGTCATATAACAAGGGATTAAGGTGTTAGGTTCCAAAAAGGTTACGCCTCTTGAATTTTGCGCTCCGATTCCTAACAAGAAAATACTTTAGTAGCTTTCCGCTTTGTAGCAGAATCGTAATAAGGATTATAAATGTTTAGCTGGCTTAGTACAAAAAGGCGTCTTGAAAACAATTTAGTGTAATAGTAGTCTACGCAATGAGGTAGACATAGACGGAACATAATTTAATGTATTAAAACGTTAATGAGAAAAGAGTCTTTATTATTTTTCTCTTAAATGTGGTCATTAACAAAAATGATAAAGTTCAATAGAACCTTAAAAGATTTTAACTGCACTAGTGCATCTGGCTTCTATAACAATGCAGAAATCACCAAATATGGTCACTAAAAGTCCTTCGAAAATCTAGGCCGTCTCCTCAAAACATGCGTTTCCCTTTTAAGTAGGCATTAAAATGTATCAGTGACAAACGTAATCGGTGCCTACTTGACGATACAGCGTCATACATTAACTTTCCAAAACTCTGCTCTCGGACTGCATACATATATACATTTATTAAGTCGCCTCAGACTGTTCCCCGAACAATTTCTGTTACGCGGTAAACGTCCAGATCTAGTAATGATCTATTTATACACAGTACCTACACTTCAGGCCAAAATTGATGCGGTTTAGTTTCAGCAGCGGCAGACCGTTTTTAGGGTTCCGTAGTCAACTAGGAACTCTTATAGTTTAGTCATGTCTGTCTATCTACCTGTCCGTGGATAATCTCAGTGACTCTCTCGTAAACTGAAATTTGGCACCACGGGTGTGCCAATCACGCCGACAAAGTGGTAAAATAAAGAGTGAATAAAACATATTTTAGTAGGGTAGGTACTTACCTACCCTTATACACGTAAAGTATGGAGTGATTTAAAACGAAACGCTTGTTTTACCGAGGTCTAGGTTTATATTAAGACTGTCTATAAGTGGTTGGCTAAAATATACATAATAATATATGATACAGGAAAAACAAGTAACTTCACGCAAGTTAAAGGCGTGCCGAGGAAGTGGCTCCTTATTAGTTTTTGTAGCGAATTAATGTTTTGTAATACCAACGAGTTTTTAATGCTAATGCAACTGTAGATTTCTAAGACGGTGGCCGGGGTTGCGGGACAAGCGCATAAGGTACTGCGTTCTCGGCCAAGAGCAGAAGCACGGGGTTTTAGTCAGCAAGAATCTGACGCTTCCTCTCGCCTCACCCTGGGAGAGAGATGTCATTTAATGTTTTTCACCTCACAAAAATACTTCCAAGTCGGTAAAAACAATCTTTGGATAACTTTGCAAATGCTTTTGTTCGGTGATTATAAGGCCCTATTTCACAACTTCTGGCTATGTTTCTGTTATCATAGCGGGTAGATAATGACGTGTCTTTCATATCAAAACGCTTTGCTTTGCATATTACTTTGGCTAATAGTTTACTATATTACGCAGTGAAACCTTCTCCAAAGGTTACGTGAAAAACAAATGCTATCAGTGTAATTGAGGTAAGAGGTCACTTAAAAGGACGAACATTCTCGATATGCGAAAAGGCAATAGGTAATTGGGTAGTTTCCTAGGTCAAAAATAAATTAATTCAATGTTTCAATACAATAAAATATTGAAAAATAACTATACTTTTATTCATCGATCGGTCGATACTCCAAGTTTTAGATTTTTTTTAGCTAATTATCGTGAAATGAGTAAGCTATTTGACGCAAAAATGTTCTGACGTCATAGCTCAGTTTTTCATACAAATTTCATAGAAAAGTATCGTTTTTGACGTTTGGATAAAAGTATTGAATTTGACTAGTTGGAAACTACCGTATTGGAAAAGATTAACCGCCATCCTATGCAGTTGCAATTATACTATTATAGCTTTGCTTGACATGGAGGATCGGAGGATCGACAAAAACTCGGACCGCGGTCCCAGTGGCCGGAACCTTCTGATTAATATGTAGTCCCCAAGTCTAGCAGTTAGGCATCTCCTTTACTCTCACTTGTGACATAAACATTATAGTCTACCATCTGGTGAAATTTTTAAACTGCCGTCACAGCACAGCCTATAGATATTAGATGTTATAGTGTCAACATAAAATTCTCTTACCATTGAGTGAACGCGTTGTCTACAAAGCATATACGTTATACAATGTTGTGTATAGTTATGAAACATGCAAATAGCATGTTATAAAACTATGAATTAAACATAAAGAATGCCGTTTACGTTTACCATTCAGTGCTTTCAAACAACATACCGTAACTAATATTTTTATTTATATCTGAACTCGTTGTTTTGTTGTGAATCTATTGCAATGCATTAATTTGTTGGTTAAATTCTAGTTACTAAATATGTAGTAAATGTTTTGTTAATCGATTTAGGGCTGATTTTTCAATGGTTAAATAAAAATTACCTAGGGAATAATTATGATGCTGTCGCGCCAGAATGTTTGTATAAGACAGTGACAGCAACAATTTTACTCCTCAGATAATATTTATCTGAATATTGAAAAATCAGCCCTTAATGTTATGAAACTCCAATAAATAGTAATCACTAGATACATGGTATAAAAAAGTCGCTTTCTCTGTTCCTTTATTAAATATATGTATGCTTAAATCTTTGGAACTGCGCAACGGACTTTGATGCGGCTGTTTTACTTCATCAAACCCTAAGCGGACGCGTTCGCGCGCCTATTGTTCTTCTATTGTCATCCACGAATGAATGGTTAATAGGTAGAGTGATTAAAGAGGAAGGTTTATATTTATAATAACACTCATTAAATAGTGGAGAATTTTTAGTACCGGCATCACCCCGTGCGAAGCCGGGGCGTGTCTTTAGCAACTCTTTAATACTGTTTTATAACATGTTTTTATTCTATTTGCAATGTATCCGTCAATTACTAGCGGTTGCATGTGGTTCCGCCCGCGTGGATGCCGATTTTACACTTTTTCAAGACTTTTTTTTTAAATTGCTCTGCGTACTTACAAACCTCTTTTGGACTTCCACAAATAATTCAAGACCAAAATTCGCCAAATCGGTAAAGGCATTGTTGTGTTAGGTATAACTATACAACGAAAGCATTGATTTTTCATAGAAGTAATATAGATAGATTCCATACCCATTTTTTTGTGAGGAGAAAATCATCAAATGACTTCTCCCGCCCAATAGTGTCAGACACTTACTGACTAAAAACCCCCTGTTCCTTCTCCTGCTCTGGGCCGAGGTCGCAGTGCCTCATTGCGCTTACCCCGCAACCCCGGACATTCCATACTTATAAATTCATCATACGACCATGTATTTTGTCTTTCTCAAAGTGTCGTATCTGGATACTATTAATATGAATGTCTTTTGTTCCAGATTTTTCGACACACAGAATCTCGAAGAGATATTATTCATTGGACCAAGCTACATGCAGCTGAGTAATCATGTGCCATTTATTAAGCTGAAGAGGTGAGTTGTTTAATATGATTTTGTTTCTATTTATGAGTGTCCATGGGTGACGCCAGGTCGTCATGTCAGCGTATGGATTTGTAAAAGAGCAGACGGATTACCTGATGGTAAGCAATCAGCGCCACCCATGGACACAACACGGAGGAGTTACGAGTGCGTTGCCGACCTTTTGGGGCTTAGGGGTTTGGAGATTTTGGGATTGGGCCTCCGGTAACCTCAGTCACACGGCGAAACACAACGTTGTGGTTATTTCACGATAGTTTTCTGTGTGGCCATGGTATAACTGTGGTCGAGCCTTCCCATTCTTGTCAAAGCATAGCACTCCCAAATTTAACTTAGTCGTAATATATAAAAAATATATTTAACGTAACGTAAAATATCGTGATTATTATAGAAATTGTATATTGTTTAAATATTAATATCTGCAGGGTACAAATCGAGAGTCTGGTGTACAAGAACATACATAGCCTGAAGAAGCTGGGCTTCTTGGGATGCGGGATGGCTGCAGTGAAGAATGACAACGAGAGATACAGCGTATGTATACCTAATGTTATTTATTTATTCTTGTGAGAGATATTTATTTATTTATTATGTTTAAAGGCTTGCGCGAGAAACTCGACTAGTGTTTCGAATAACGTCGCGAATCGCACGATGCTGTTTTGTTTTATTCTTTACTAGCTTTTGCCCGCGACTCCGTTCGCGTGGAATAGTAACTACCTGCAGATATTTGATTTAAAACCTGTCCCATGTCCTTTTCGAGTTCCAAACTATGTCGGTACCAAATTTCAGGGAAATCGGTTAAGTAGTTTAGGCGTGAAGAAAACATAGACAGACAGGCAGAGTTACTTTAGCATTTATAATATTAGTTTGGGTTCTGAATAGGTATTCTAGTGTTTATAGAAATATAAGTAAATAAAGGAAATTAGCATGTTACCCAAATAAAAGTAGCCTATGTGGTATTCCAGTTTATAATCTATCTCTGTGCTAATTATTACGAATTCAGTAGTTATAAACCTCCGCGTTTATAATACAAGTAGAATTATCTTTATCTTTATTCGCTCGTGAATGTGTAAATGCATTAGTACACCGACACAATAATAAATGACGTTCTAAATGCAACTTTAATTAACAGTAAAAAGGTGCAAAATCGAAGGTCAGGTGTGTTAAGTAAGCGCTTTCTTCCTTTTGCGTCAGAATGTTGACATTTAAAGGTTGAACCTTTGCGATCAATGCCATACGGACTTGTTATGTTAGTGTTAACGATAGCCTTTATCTGTATTACCAGGACCAATGATAAGTAGATATGGTCTCAAAAAAAAAACCCTTTTTTATCTGTTTTTAAATTAGGCTATCAACCTTTATGGTTTCCACCGACCATGGGTCTCTTATTCAATTCTTTTGAATTCAAATCTAGAATTAATTCTTGATTATTCTTATAAGTTGAAAAGGTCACCGAACAAAACGAAAATGAACACTAAAAGGTTGTGAGAAGGTTCCTTTATCCTTACTGAGCTGTATGGCTTATCTCAAATTACTAATTGTAGGTGTCCGATATATCTATTCTTCTTTTGTTTTCCTATCAAATGTTACGACGTCACATACTCTTGTTCTCATCATGATATTTTTAACCTAATCCTTTCTTTGTTATCTTATTCTTTCATTTATACTAATATTATAAAGAGGTGAAATTTGTTAGTTTGTATGTAGGGTGTGACCTATGGAACCGCTGGTCGGATTTTCAAAATTCTTTGACTGATATATAGCTACATTGTTACTGAGTGCCATAGGCTATAAAAGAGCCACGGACGGATGTAGTGTGTAAACTACAATAGAAGTAGTTCTATGACTGTGACGGATCATATTTTCACGGGTTTGGAGCGGAATTAGTGCATAAGCGCTAAGGAAATGGACCTAAGCCTTGTAGCACAATATGACAGATTAGGTTGGTGTCAAAAACATTGTATGTATCAAGTGGAGCTTCTGGAGTTTAAAATAATTTAGAATATGAAAGCAGCTGCTGTATAGGTAGTAATAGGTATACTAATAATATGAATCTCAATGTTGCTTAGAATTATTCGAACATTTCTCCTATAGTTTATGTGTAAATCTTCTATATAAAGCTCTATATATTTCAAATAAAAACCGTAAGAAGCAGATTGTAGTAAATTATTCATACTTTTTAATATAATAAATTGTCAAAATGTAATCAAAATTTCCCATATACAGATGAAACGATATAATATAATTTTAGATTTTATATCCTTTTAGAAAGAAATAATGCAATTTAATGTGTTATAGAAAATTATCATTTTTGACATATTGCATCGAAAGTATTGAATTGGACTAGTCGGAAAATACCGTATTGTAATATAATCATACTGTTGTTCCAGAATAAGCAAGTGGAGTACTACTCCCGGCCGCTGAAGTTCAACAACATGCTCGCGATGGCTGACACCATCCTCAGCAGTACCAACCAGCATCTGATGCGGTATTCAACTATCACTGTAAGTCCACACATTACAAGCCAGTCTCGAAAACCAGGAAACCGGTGTAAAGCAACACTTAAATTGTGTTTCGCCATGTAAGTGAGGTTGGAAAGGCCCACCCCCCCTCCCCCTAAATGCCCAATCCTCAAATCCCCTAACCCACAAGAGGCCGGTAACGCACTTGTAGTACTACGAGTGTCCACGGGCGGCGCCGATTGCTTGCCATCAGGTAATCCCACCGATCGTTTGCCGACCTATTACATAAAAAAAGAACCTACATATATATCTATAGTCCTCCTTACACAAGACGTAATAAGAATGTCTTAGGCACTAAATGCGTTTGTACATATATGTTACCTTTTGGCATAGCAAGTTATTCGTATTAAAATTGTTTCACATGAACATAATATATCATTGTAACTTGTCAATTAGGAAACCTCTGGGCTACCACTACCACTGTCTTGACATAAGCTCCATGCAAAATATAGTATGCTTAATAGAAAAGAGGCCTAACTCAAAATGCAAGATATTTAAATCTCAAAAATTATGCGGCAGTCATAAGATTCAATTTCGAAACAACCTCTTTTATGTCTTAGTTCTTTTTTCTATTAAACATGTTACAATTATGTTATACAAGAAAGTTTTTGCTCTATTACAGCACCTTATAGTGGACTATGAGCAGCTAAGTACGTCGGCCCTGGTTACCCTATCCCAGCTGAGCAGCTTCCGCTACCTGACCCTAAACATCACGAATAGGAAGCAAACGCTGCAACGCGTCGACTGGGACACCATGCACGAGTTCTACAAATACCAACTTAGAGTCACCGTTAATATTGTAAGTAGAATTATTATTGTTAATATCGCTACACGTTACACATCAGCCAGTTGCCCAGCCACTACGCCAACCGTGCAGTCTAACTACTATTAATTATTAATTTACAATATTAAATGTACCATGATTATTTACCCATGAAGTGTCTTATGCACACACGGCGGTGCGTAAGAGATTGTCTTCCGACGTGCCATATGCTCCTACGTCGGAACATAAACGACATGGCTGACTTCTCGTGGCTCAAATCTATTACTACTGTGATCGGTTGATTTAAAAAATATTTCTATACACAAAGTACACTATAATTATGACCTATTTTATCAGCTTTCTTATGGTGAATAATTTATTACATATTACAAATCACCATCATCAACAAATAAGTACCCACTGCTGGGCAAAGGCCTCTTCTACCGCGGAGAATTGGTGATTTTAATCAAGATGTTTTCTTTCACCGTTTGTCAGTGATCTAAATAATTATAGAAAGTACATATTTACTGCACGGTTGGCGCGGTGGCTGGGCAACTGGCTGCCGTGCAACGTATCGCGGGTTCGATTCCTGCACGGAACAACTCTTTGTGTGATCCACATATTGTTGTTCCGGGTCTGGGTGTGATGTATATGTGAATTTGTATAATTATGTTTGTAAACGCACTTACAACACAGGAGAAAATCCTTGTGTGGGGCAATGTTTTTAATATATATCTCTCTCGGAAAGTCACATTGGTACTTGCCAGTTTATGAACACACTCAGGCATGAGAAGCGGAGTGCCCTAATCTCCGGGACGCTTTTACATAAACTAAGGGAAATACTCAACGTGTATATTTAAGTGGAAAAGTGTTTCTCTACCTATACTAACTCAACTTACAAATCTTCACGACAAATCAGTGTACGGAGTTAACTACTTAATACCCGTACATTTATGGTATCACTACCGATCACTACAGGGTATCGCGCGCGCGGGAAGCCGTGCGCTCTATGGAATTATATGTATATCATATTGTTACAGATCGCCGTGCCATACAGGAGGTTCAACGACATCATGGAGAATGTTCTAGTGGAGGGCCTCCGGCTGATATCGCTCAAAGTCATGTTCTGCAAGTCTGTAAGTATTTTCATGTTTTCCAACTATTATTTCGTATAAGGTCTCCCCTAGGTCTACCTTATACGAACAAATAATTTACATCATCCTCATGTTTGTTATGGCAGTCACTTGTAATTCACTTTTGTTTTGAGCTTAATGCCAATACGACTCCCTTTGGACACCGATCAATATTTTCTTTGATATCATTGAGTTACCTAGCTTCACTGACGAACAGACTGACAGACTGCTATTCTATTTTGACGTTTCAAAAGTACCCATTTATGGTTTAGTTGGAATTAATGATTTTGATTTGGTTTGATTTGATTACATTGACATTGACTAAAAAAATGTCTAATGTGTGCATTGGTATAATTGAAATAAATGATTTTGACTACACTTCACATGATGTTAAGGTATTCAAATGAACACATCGATTATCTAATATCTCTTCTTTCAATACAAACAAATGACGGCACGGTTGGTCACCGCATGGACCGATTCCCGCACGGAACAATACCGTATTTTTCAACTAGTCAAATTCATTTGTTTACGTTGAAATCGATGACTATCAATCGAAATAGCTGTGACCTCATAAGTTTTTATTATTATTTATTTTATTTATTTATAGCTTCGTGCACAAAAAAGGTACACAAGGTGGACTTAATGCATTGAGCATTCTCTACCGGTCTGATCTTTGGGTGTTAAGTTTTTGTGTAAAAAGCCTTTTGACACAAAAACTTATTACCAACATTAATTTCTCTTAAATTAGCTAAAATTATAAAACTAAGATTAACACTATCAAATCAGTAAGAGTGTGATTAATTATTTTTATGTTTTGAAAAGTTAAAATTATTCAACAAGTATTTTAGAATGAGTAGTCCACTCACGGAAGAAAACAAAATATTTTAAATTCTCTGAGTTGTCCACAAACGGAGTTGTAGGTGTTTACAAAAGAAGTAGAATAGAAAGATATAGATACGTAAATAATCAAAATATTCTACGATTTGTTCCAGCTGTACACGCCCCTACTATCGCACGTATCGCGACTGTACCAGTCGAGTCTGCAGGAAGTGATCTGGGCCGACAGCCCCTACGACTCCTCAGACCCTTATCATCGCGTCGTCAGGCCGTTGCGACAGGCACAGGTAAAAAATACAATCATCATCAATATCATCAGCCTATAAGTGCCCACTGCTAAGCAAAGGCCTCTTCTCACGCGGAGAAGGTTTGAGTGTCAATCACCACGCTTGCTCAAGGCGGATTGGCGATTTCAAACTTATTAAAACTTCACTTGCGTGATGTAGGACTTCTGTGGCAAAAATGTGTCATCAAAAACTCATTGCATACTTTAGCTATACTTACGGTAGTTTCCAACTAGTCAAATTCTTACTAATACTTTTATCCGACAAAACGTCAAAAACGATACTTTTCTAATGTCATAGTATTTGTGGGGTCCAATAGCTTACTTATTTCATAAAAGTTATCTAAAAAATAACAAAAGTTTAGTGTATTGACAGATCGATGAATAAAAGTAAGTATAGGTATTTTTCAATATACTACTCTGTCAAGAAAGTACCGGGAAAAAGTCAATAATACACAAAATGTTTGTTATTCATCTAAATTTATTTTATCACCTTCAAAGTATGCTCCTTCAGAAACGATACACTTACGCCAACGAATAATCCAATCATCGAAACTTTTTTTAAACACTGTTTCCGGAATTGAGTTCAGTGCTCGCCGCGAATTCTCCTTTATGTCTTCTAACGATTGAAAACGGGTGCCACGAAGGGGTAATTTGAGTGTGGGAAAAAGAAAGAAGTCGGCTGGAGCCATATCTGGTGAATATGGTGGCTGCTCGATGGTGTTTGTTGAGTGTTTGGACAAAAAATCGTTTACAATGATGGCCTTGTGCGAAGGCGCATTATCGTGATGCAAAATCCAAGAATTTTCTTTCCACATTTCTGGCCTTTTTCGTCGAATTTGTTCTCTTAAACGCCGCATAACGCTCAAATAATATTCTTTATTTACCGTTTGACCTTCGGGCAAGAATTCTGAGTGCACAACACCGCGATAGTCAAAGAAAACAGTCAACATGACTTTGACTTTTGATCGACTATGACGTGGTTTTTTCGGTTTTGGTTCAGTTGGAAGGCGCCATTCCGAAGCTTGTTGACTAGTTTGCATGTCAAACTCGTAAACCCACGTCTCGTCACCAGTAACAATGCGTTTCATGAATGTTGGGTCGGTATTGACTCGTTCTAGCATGTCCTCAGCGACTTTCATGCGATTTAGTTTTTGAAGAAAATTCAGGTCTTTTGGGACTAGCCGAGCGGCAACACGTTTCATACCCAAATTATTTGTAAATAGTACGGATCGACTCGTGAGATACAGAAAGTTCGGCGGCCATCTCTCTCAAACTTGAATGAGGATTTTCAGTCACTATTTCCTTCACTTTTGCGATGTTAACTTCAGTTGCAGACGTTGATGGCCTACCAGAACGAGGCAAATCTTCCATCACATCTCGACCGCTTTTGAACGCTTTGTACCACTCATAAGCACGTGTTTTTGATAAAGTCGATTCACCGTAAGCCTTCTGTAACATTTTGAGTGCCTCCGAACACGAAATTTCATTGGCGATGCAAAATTTAAGACAAACTCTTTGTTCGATGTTTTTGTCCATTATGAAATTCGCAATACACACTAGATATTATAAAACTAAAAACAGCACTGTTTTTAATATAAATGACAGATGCAACTCAAATTCCGCGCCAAAATTGAAAACAGTTATGCCAATCTAACAACAAAAAAAAAAAAAAATCGAATTTGGAACCATAAAAAAACATTCATTCCCGATACTTTGTTGACTGAATGTAGGTATACTAATATTATAAAGCTGAAGAGTTTGTTTGTTAGATTAAACGTGCTAATCTCCAGAACTATTGGTTCGTATTTAATATTTCTTTCTGTGTTTTTTAGTCCATTTATCGAGAAAGGCTTTAGGCTATAAAACATCACGCTACGATTTGTAGGAACCTAGCAGCGAGTGAAATCGCGCGACAGAAGCTAGTACTTTATACCATTAATTATTAATTTATTTTAGACCTAGGTAACTTCCCAATCCACACTGCAAACTAATCTCTTTTAAATATATTCCACAGCCGGACACTTACGCCCATGTGAATCCATTTGTGCTACTTTGCTGGCAGTGCATGCATCTTCAACGCCTCGCTATACATGGTAAATATTACTTACTTACTGCCCACTTATAGTTCAGTTCAAGGTTCTTTTTTTATGAGACAGCCGGCAAACGAGCTTTCGGATTACCTGATGGTAAGCAATCGGCGACCCTCATTGACACTTGCAACACCAAGGGGATTAGACTGTGTTGCCGGCCCTTTTGATATTTATGGTTTCGGATATTTAAGGATTGCGGAGGGATGGAGGGAGGTGGAGATTGGGCATCCGGTAACCTCACTAAGACGGCGAAACACAACGTTGTGATTGTTTCACGTTGGTTTTTTGTGAGGCCGTAGTATCACTCCGGTCGAGCCGACCCATTCGTGCCGAAGTACGGCTATCCCACACTGCTTATTTTCGAACGCTTTTTTTCAATTTTATTAAGAACCCCATTTGTGCTCGAAACTCGTCGAGCCCCAATTTTGCAAATTTAATAAATAATTGTAATTCCAACAGGTTACTGGGTTTGGCAATACGACGTTCTTGGTTTCGTGCGCCTGCGCAAGGGATTGATGCAGTTAGAGGTATCAGCTATATACAACAAGCAGGACCGGTTCCATAACATGATACAGCTGAGTGAGGAAGGCGCTATTCGAGTACTAAGCGGTGACCAACCTGCACCCGTCGACCCCGAGTATATACAGGTAAGAATGCTGCTCTGTATTTGTATTTTCTTGTTATCTATTATCAATGATTATTTATCGGTCACTAATTACCAGTCACCTTATATTTTATTAAGAGCCAAATTGAATATTAAAGATTCCAAAGGAAGGCCACTATTCAGACGGGGTTGAGGGTCTACTTTCATACCATGCTACGAGTTCATATTCATGACCAGCATTGAACAAGTCATGACGCAGCGAACGTAGCGCAGATAAATGATACAAGATCAGAAACTAGTTCGAAGCGTTCCTCGTCAAACAATAAACGTAGTTTTGATGATACAAATTAATAAATATAGAGTTCATATATTTATTAAATAATTACAGGAAGTGAACGAGTACACAGACTTCAAATGGCGCCCGACATCTTGGTCGTCCTTACACCCCGGGCTTCGCCCTCGTGCCACGCTACAACAACGTATCGACTACGTCGTCAGCGAGGCGCGCGTGCCCAGTGGACACGAGTTAGTATACTAAACTTTTATTATCTTTACGTGTTAGAAATCAGATTTTCTCATTATTTTTCTTAATTAATTAAAGTACAAGACTTACGTAGGTGTTCGAAAAGTCTCGAGCCCCGGTCGTGGCTTGAAACTAGTCGAGCTTGGCTTTATGTACTCGTAGTGAATCCAGTTTTTAAATCACGTGGTTTGTAATATCATAATATTAAATTGTGAATGCTACTAACATTCTCACTTTTAGAACTTACGATTGAGGATATGGTATAAAATAACTATAAACTAGAAATTGAATTTTTTTTCAAATAATTTAAGTAAATTTTCGTAAGCGTAGTTTCACGTTCATCGAATTTGAACATTTCATAGCATAGTTACATGATTTTATTCAAAACGTAATTCTAATATTCCAGAAAGTATGGAAACTGAACGAAGAAAGAACTGCGATAGCAACATCGGAAGACTCATTGCAGCTAAGTATTAAAATTTCGATACAACACCTTGTGATAAACGGAGTAAAGTCGAAATTACGGTGAACCGAGGGTATTGGATTAGTCTAAGTTGGATTATCTGTAACCGAAAACCTTTAGTATTTAATTTATGACTGATATTCCAAGCATTTCCTTACCTATTGTGACTAATAATAATTATGTCTCATCATTATTTCTTATACGACTCAAATAAATCCAATTTAGATGAATCCTAAAAAGTTTGATAGGAAAATATACACCCTATATAGAGATCTGCTTTCAATACTATCAACATACAAAAGGACGAAAAAATATATAAATGTTCCAGAAAATTCTACCAAATGTTTGTAGTATTGAGGACAGTGGAGGATATTTAGATTAAATGGAATGGACGATGTTTTAAAATGAGTTCAATACGCATTATTTTACATGTACTTTGATAGATTAGATTCTCTTTACACTTCTTGCCAAGTTCCACCATGAAGTACGCGACTAACTTGGCTTAAATCCGAAGAGCGGTACTAAGAACACTTTTCACTTCATTAATGACCAACTTCAGGGCTGTGACTCGGGTGTAATAGACGACAAGAAATGGCACTGGTCTGAAGTTAGGCTAAGGTTGATGATGTAAAGCCAAAGGGCCTCTATCGTATTCGTTTACCAACGTTCAACTTCCCGAGTTATGTGAAGGAAGCATGAATTCTTTTTGAAATTTGGTAGTTTCCCAACTAGTCAATTTCAATACTTTTATTGTAACGCCAAAAACTATAGTTTTCTATGAATATTGTTTGAGATCTCGAAATATGACGTCATAATCTTTTTACGTCAAAGAGCATAGATACTTATTTTTATGAAAAGTTAACTAAAACAAATCTAAAATTGAGAGAAATAGAGTATATCGTCAAATCAATGAATGAAAGTATGGTAATATTTTAATAATAATTCATTGTATTGAAAAGTCAAAAGAATTTAAGTTTTGAACTAGGAAACTACCCAATGTGCTGAATTTTATCTAATTTAGTTCCAATAGGGACTCATTTTCAATGGTTTGATTAAAGTTGTCTGGGGAATAATTATGATGCTGTCTCATCAGAATGTTTGTATAAGACAGTGACAGCAACAATTTTATTCCTACTGAAAAATCAGCCCTAAGATAACTTATGTGACAAAACCGCTAGTCTGGCCGCTTATATTCTGTTGATTTACTATATTGCGAGGTTTGAAATCGTCATCGGCTGCGCCGTACATTACATACTCCTTTTTAAAAGGCCGGCTTTGGACTCTTTTGATATTGCCTTCCATAGGATTGGCAGTAAGCAGCAGACTATTCGTTTGCCGACCTGCGACAAAAAATATACAAAAAAAGGAGTACATGTTTAATAATGATATTGAACTCATTCTTATCGTTTGTTATATCTTATTTTTATTAATATACCCGTAGTGTTAGGTAAAATATAAAAAATATAAAAAAATGTTTTTTCTGCTCTATTAATTAATTATAATGAATATGAAAATTTAATTGGATTTGGAGCCGATAATCAAAAGAGGATGGCCTAAATGTTTCGAAAAATGATCTATCTGCGATTGATTTAATCTCGATATTACTTTTTAGATGTTAATTATTAAATCTTTTATTAAAATATTATTGATCGCGTAATATCTGTTACCAAAATGCAAGCGATCTAATTGACACTGCTATCAGTACTTTCAAGTATTTTTATAAGTTAGTTTGTAAATGTTGAATTCAAATTAAAATGCGCTCTCTTTTCAAGACTATAGAGCTCATTTTCGTGTTATCTAATTGCAAGGGCGTAGAATCAGTGGTAACATTCCATATGACGAAATTCAACCTTAAAGCTATGAGGATAAGGTATTTTATAAGCCAAACAGTTACTGTGTCATATTTAATCAGCTCGAAAGAATGCTCTCTAGGTATAGTATCAAATCTTTCTTCTCATAGAGACTAATACACAGACAGTACTGATATCAGAATAAAAATATTTTTAAATTACAAACAAAATAATAAAAAAACAGAACATAAAAATGTAACTGTAAAAGTTCCTGATACATTTTTTTATTAAAACAAAACCTACTTATATACATGGTGATATTTAAATCTGTTCACTACCACGATGGTGTGTTTAGACGTGTTTCGTTGATAGGACATGCTGTATATAAATGCTAAGCGTAGATTCCTCTCTATTAAGTATTAAAGGAAAACATATTTGTCTCTGAACTGTGGGCAAAGACTACCTGGGAATAAAACCTGTTTTTTTAATTATTATTTTTAATATACACGCTCCTGCAGGATATTGATCATAAAAAACTCATAGACAGAAACTAACTCATGTTAATATTTTTTTCTGTAAAACTTATACAACTATTGACATCACGAAATAAAAATAAAAAGTAATGTCTTAAAAAATAAAAGAAGGTCTTATACTCAGGTTGCCTGTGCCCATAGAATATTTAAAATAACACACAGTATATAAAAAATAATCATAACTAAGCATGTAAAAATGAAACATTTTCTATAATCTTACATAAGAATATAAATGAACAGACAAAGTTTATACCAAACTTCTAATCAGATATCGTAATAATATTGTTAAGATTTTGTTTTCTCGTGTTCTAATGTTTTATACAAGACGTTTTGCATATTTCTATGCGAATTACGAATAAAAAAACCACGTTGTAGATGTCATCATATTTTAAATATGTCCATGATATTGAAACAAGCTAGTGATGACATTAAATATAACTATTGCAGAAAACTTATACCAACGGTCCTTACTAGAGTAAAAGAAGTTAAAACCGTCACTTTATTAAGAACCACAATTTTTCCCGTTTATCTGTCTGTATGTTTCTTGGATGGAAAACTATATACTAGTATCCCGGTATTTTAAAAACAGCAGCGTTCAAAGCGATAACTCGACTAAAATACACAGATCAAGTGAATAGCCAAGGAACATTGTAGCTATCTAACGGTGAAGAATTTTTGAAATCCATCCAGTGGTTCCAAAGATTACCCCCTACATACAAACTTACAAATTTTGGCTCTTGATAATTAGTCAAGATAACGACTCACATGACTAAACTTTAATTAACTTGAAGCTAGTTCAGCTTTTCGTAGTTAATTTCAATAAATTTTGAATACTTAACCTAATATATGTATGCTGTCTGAATGTTTTTTATCCGAATCACACAAAAGATTCTGCGTGGAATCGAATTAATTCCTATTCGGTGTAAAGTATAGGATCCATCTGAACAAAGTGTGAAAGAAAAATAACTGTGATACATTTACTGGGAGCATCGGTTTTTTTCATACAATTCTTTTTATAAATACAACAGTCAATTTTAGGCTAGTCAACGGCAAAAACGTCTTGTATAAAACATTATTACCATCCACCCCCACCTTGCCTAAAACAAACAATGTAACAATCAATTGATTCGATAATACTTGCTTTAATTTGTTATCTTAGTATATAGAACTGTTATAATATAGGTAACATAGAGAAAGGCCGAAAGATATGTTTACTGGCAACATCTCTCAATATCGCGAATTTATCATGTAGTTGTAATAATTGCAATGTTAGAGAAAAAAGTTTTTTATTATAACAACCTCCTTGGTGCAATCGAACCTGCTTACTCATATTTTTATTGTTAGAAAGATTTTTATAATATTTTATTAATTATAAAACATTCCTAGTTGTTGCTGCAAGATATTGCGATTTTGAGCGCTCATGTTATTATTTAAAGAGGTAGAGACAATACTGATGAAACTGTAAAGTATTATAAGCAAGCAGGTTTTATTGCATCATGGCTGACACGCCAGAAGAAAGTCGCTGAGTGACATCGCACAAAGTAACATCAAGCGACATAGAGTAACATAGAACTGGTCATACGTTACTTTTGGTGTGAAATAGAATGAGAATAAGAAATGTGAAACATCTATCTAGTCATGGGACCCGTAGAAAATTGTAAATATAGTACCGATTATACAGACGGGTTCGCGAACATTGCACAAAATATAACGAAGTATTACAAATACATCATTTATATCAACTTGAAGCTTTAAGCGAACGATCGCGATACTGTATCAAATACAGTGATTTTTTATAAATAACAAGTGCCACTGCTATTGTGAAATGTAAACAAGAAAGACAAACGAATATAGGAGTATTTTATTAGAGAATGTAGGCAGACTATGGACAATGCAGCTAGTTTATAGTTTAATACAAATATTCAAAAGCATTTCCAAAACATTGATATTGACGGAAGACGCTTTAATTAAAACCGTTTTACAATTAAGAGAAACGATTTGACGAACGAATAAACATTCGATGATAAATGTAACTGAAATAATAAATGCTTTCGAATATCCAGATATAAATAACTGAACGAAAATAGACTTTATTTCTTGGGGATTAAGGCGCCCGGGTTATAATGAACATGACAGTCCGTCCCCAATACATGCATTTGAAAATATAGACTGAACAACTTGATCCATACGCGAAAGGATTGCAACTAAAACGAAATTATCCTACTCTACTAACAGCTGCCGTTCTAGAACTTTTAATTTAGTGTTTATAATTATACTACGCCCTTCTGCTAGCCTGAGTACTTCTCACCTAGTGTAATTAATAAATTAGTTATAATATATTGTTCACTTAAAGTCAGGCTTTCAGAAATGGTGTTAACAACTGTCACGTTGAGTCTCATTGTGATACATGAAGCTATGGATGAACCACTCAATAGTCACGCACAATCCTTGTGATGTTACGACGAACAAAAAGACAAATCCTCACATAATATGCCTTTATAGAATAACACGATACAACTTTGTAACATTCGAAATTCCAAAGTGTTTTCAATTTTAGATTTATATTGTTAGCTTAGGTTTTGCGGGGGGAAAATCGTAAAATTATTTCTTTCGCCTAGGGTGAGGCAAGCAGGAGTGTCAGACTCTTACTGACTATAAACCCCGCCGTTCCTTCTCCAGCTTCAAGCTGAATCAACGGTATCTTATTGCCCCGTCACCCCGGCTGAACATCGGCTCTGTTGGACCCATCT